CTTCATTTTAAGTTGTTGCCCATCAGCAAATTCAGGTTCTGTGCGCTTTTCTCCCCCAAACTTAACTTTATTCATGTCATTATGGTCAACCCTACTTTGAGGGGGCATTTTTCCCCTAGTCGCATTCTGAGTGCCTTCCCACCTTCCGGTCCTGTATCTGACAATGTTTCTCTGCTATTCGTAGAGTTTTCAGTGACTAGTGATTCGGAAGTAGTTTGTTACTCTTTCTTCCTAGTCTGTCTTTGTTTTGTAGCTCATCTGAAACCTGTTCTCCATGGGTGACCCTGCTGGTTATTCAAAACACTGGTGGCACAGCCCTCAGAATCACAACAACTCAAACCACCACAGCACGACAGACAGATGAGTAGTGGCTGTTTGGTTTCTTATAGTTGTGTTTTATAGTTCTATTTTACATGTCTTTTGTTTCTCTGGTCAGATTTATTCCTAATTACTTCATCTTTTGGGTGCCTATTGTAAATGGTATTATTTTTCTGATTTCTTTTTCAGAGATCTCTTTTTTTAATGTAAAGGAATTGGAGCGGGTTTGGGGTGCTGCTCTTGTACCCTGACACTTTACAGAATCTTTCAATGAGTTCCAATAATTTTCTTGCTGAGTCCTTGTGATTTTGTATGTATGGGATCTTATTGTCTTTAAGTAGAGAGAATTTAATTTTTCTTTGCCAATTTGTATGTCTTTAATCTCCCTTTTTTATTAAGACTTCCAGCACAATATTGAATAGGAATAGTGATTGCAGACTTCCGTGTCTGTTTAAAGAATCTTTTTTATTTCATTTTTTAAATTTGTTCAATTACCCAGTAGCATTTAAGTCGGGTGTTATTTAATTTCCATGTACTTAATTATACTTAATTTGTTCAGTTACCCAGTAGCATTTAAATTGGGTGTTATTCAATTTCCATGTCCTTAATTGTTTTCCTTGACCTTCCTGTTGTTGATCTCTAATGTTATAGCATTGTGATCTGAAAAGATGCTTTGAAGTGTTTCTATATTTTAAATTTTATTGAGACTTACTTTGTGGCCTAAAATATGGCTTGTTCTGGACTATGCTCATGTGCACTGGAAAAAAAAAGTGTATTGTGCTGTTGTTGGTTTAATGTTTTGTATAAGTCTATGGCATCAAGTTGGCAGATTGTGTTGTTTAATTCTGTCTTTGTTGATTTTTATTCTAGTTGTTCTATCTTTCAACAAAAGTGATGTATTAAAATTTCCTATAATTGTTGTAGAGTTACCTACTGCTTTCTTCAATTCTATTAAAGTTTGTTTTATGTATTTCGAGGCTGTACATTGGGATTGTAGATATTTATTATGGTTATGTCCTCTGGTTCAACTGACCGTTCAATCATGAGATAATGTTTTTCTTTGTCTCTTAGCTGGATTTTGCCTTGATAAAAATCAATTTTATCGGTATTTAATATTGCTACTCCTGCTTGGTTTTGATTGTCATTGTTGTTGTTGTTGTTGTTGTTGTCAGGTGCCATCGAGTCGGAACCGACTCATAGCGACCCCATGCACAGCAGAACGAAACAATGTT